ATTTTTAACAGTGATCTTACTGAACTCCATTATTGTTTCTGCATTATTTCTGCTATCTTGTTTCTGAATACTCCTAAAGACCATTAGCAAAACTTAAAAACTTTGTTTCTTCTTATTATTTTAGGTACCCCTTTACAACTATTGTAAGGAGTTAATCTGTGTATTTTTGAAAGCAGGATGAATACTGAAACAAATAAGTGAAATATGTCAGTGCCTTAATGAAATGAATTTCTCAATCATATAGTTGAGTGTGGATTTCTCAATTGTAGTTCAATGTGGGTTGGCAGAGAACCTAAACAACACTTCATGGAGATATTGTCAAACCCACATGCATTCCACCTTGTAGTTCAGTCATCTTCTAGGACCACATTTTCTTCAGTATTTGGGCCAGGGGTGGGTGGTAGAGGGGAGAAAGAAAGAGAACATAAAGGCTTGCATGGAAAGTTTCTTCAGAGTCCAGATATTTGAAGTGATGCAACAGTAAAATATTCCTGAATGCACAGCAATAAAAATTTAATTCAATATCAACCACATAATGAAGTTGAGGTGTTTCTGTTTGGAAGCAAAAGCTATGCTTAAGAAGCCCTGGTGTAGATCACTATTTTTCTTATTAACCAGGACTCAGTCATTTGAGCCTACCTAAGTGCAAAACAGATTGAGATTGTGAGCAATATTGCCAGAAAGAAAAAGTATATGATTGGTAAACACTGGATAGCTATTTGGAGAACCAGAATCCCTTCCCCAAGATTCTTGGCTAACATGGCTAGCAGCTCAGCGTTAGGGCCCAGATCTGCTGCTACTCAGGCCTGACGGTGCTGGGGGGTTACCGAGCCACCTGAAAGATGTTGGGGCCTCCCAGGTTGCGTTCTATGATGTTCAAGGTACCATGTGGTATTGGGGGGAATCACACTGGAGTAGTTGCACACAAGGTAAGTTGCATGCAAGATAAGTAGTTGCACACAAGGTAAGTTGCATGCAAGATAAGTAACCTTTGTATTATTATTTGTATTATTATTTGTATTATTTCCCAAACTTATTTGACCTACTGAACCCTTTGAAGAAAAAATAATCACTTATTCATCCTCTTGTGAAAATCTACCTACTTTAAGTGTATACTCCCACCCCAACCCCAGTTGTGCCCGAGGCTACTAATTCCATCTGTATTCTCAAGTGTCCCCAGGATCTATATTGTGGAAAATACTGATCTAATATTCTAATATTTCTTCTTGGTACAAATGTTTACTAGCACATACTCAAGCTATTTTAGAGGGGAGCGCTCTTCTCTTATTTTTTTTCCCCTTCCTCTTGTCTCTCAATGGCGCACTCTAAAATAGTGAAATGCTCTACACTGAATAAGGGGATAATAGAAATTGTGGAGAAGTTTTGAAAGAAGAACTGAAATCTTGGGACAGAGGGGAAAGTTTGTGTGGGTCTTGGAAATGGTAAGGTCAGAGCTGAAGTGACTACAGGTGCACCATTGGTGTGCTCTTTTGCCTAAATCTCCTCTTTTGCTGACAAAGATGTATAGCTTTCCCATCAAGATGCCTTTGAATTATTTCTCCATTCCACTGAATGTTGTCACATAAAATTCCAGTTATATTTGTGATAGATTCTGATAACTTTTCTACTCCTTTAATATATAGCTTTCTCTTTTTTTACTATATTGTTTAAATGTTAGGCGCAGCGATAGCATAGCAGTAGGGCATTTGCCTTGCACATGGCCGGCCAGATCAACCTGGGTTCAATTCCTCTGCCCCTCTTGGAAAGCCCGACAAGCTACTGAGAATATCTCGCCCGCACAGCAAAGCCTGGCAAGCTACATATGACATATTGGATATTCCAAAAACAGTAACAACAAGTCTCGCAATGGAGATGTTACTGGACCCGCTCAAGCAAATTGATGAACAACGGGAGGACAGTGCTGCTACAGTGCTATTGTTTAATGTTTTAATGAAGATACCATTAACATTATAAATGAAAAGAACCTGTAACTTTCAACAGTACTTTCATGTTCAAGGAAAAATAAATCATTATTTATCTTGTAACTTTAGGTGTTCATTGATTTAATCAGCTTACATCTGAGGGCACTGAGAGGGATGGTCCTAAGATCCTTTGCTCCAACTCCTACAAACCACACAATACCTTTCATGGAAACTGGGCCTCTCCACATCCTCTTTCCCAGTCTTTGTCTAAATTACCTAATTAGGTTTTTTGTTTTTGTTTTTTGACCATGTCCCCCAGTGCTCAGAGCTTATTCCTGGATCTTCCCTCAGGGATCATTTCTGGCAGGCTTAAGGGACCATATGGGGACCAGAGATCAAACCCAGCTCAGGTGCATGCAAAGCAAACACCCTACCCACTATTGCTCTGGTCCAACCTAATTGTTTGATACTATAATCCCTACAGGTTCAGTTACAGGCCCCTTTGTTTTATAATTGTGTATTCTCCTTTCTGATCACTTTTTTGGGACCATGTTTTCAATTACCTTATACATTCCAATGAGTCAGAAATTTCTATCTTCAGAACCACTTGTGCAAATGTCTGACATAACATCTTGATGCCTCACATGAATTTAAACTTTAAATAGATAGTACAGAATCACAATCTTTCTCCAAATTTTCTCTTGCTCTATTCAAATGCATCAGCTATACATGGAGCTTTGCAGGTCTGAGACCAATGTCATCTCAGTAATATGTATAATAAAGATTTATCAGCTTCTAAAAATGTTTCCAATTAGATTGTTTCTCACGTCTTCATCGCTATCGCACTAGAATTCAAGCTGAGTCTATTTCTAACTCCTAAAATGTTCATATATTTTTTCCTTCTATTTAAACTTTTCTCAAATTAATGTCCAGCACTCTTCACTTTAACCTGTTTTTTACCCATCATCCTCACAAGACATGGCAGCACCCTAAATGGTGATATCAGTTTTCAGGTTAAAAAATTGTTAATTCTGGGATTCCTACCATCTTTCACTCCCCACATTCAATACTCATTGGATAATTCTATGTTCAAAACATATGCCAATTTTATCTCTTCATTGACATTGTTACTATTCTATTCTAAGCTGCCATCATCTCTCCACTGGAGCCCTGTCGAAGTCTCCTAATTGACTTTCCTTCTTCCACTTGAAATGAACTGTATTCTATTTTCAATGAAATTCTTTTTTTAAAAAACAGTAAATAATAAAATAGTAGATTCTTAAGCAGAACTGACCATGTTTTGATAAAACCCTATTGTCCCTTATATTATCTGGACTGTTTATCTCTCTAACATACCAAATCTCTCTCTCTCTTTCTCTCTCTCTCTGACACACATACACACACACACACACGTACACATACACATTTGTCCACATTATCAAAAACTCTGAAATCTTGTTCCCACTTCAAGTCCTTTATATTTGTGTCTAGAAGCCAGTGAAATAGTATAGTGGGTAACACACTTGCCTTGTATACAACTGGCCCGGGTTTGATTCCTTGCACCTCATATTGTTCCCCCGAGCCTGCCAGGAAGTGATCACTGAGCATTGAACCAGAAGTGAACACTGCCAAGTATGACCAAACAACAAAACAAATACATTGATTTCTCCTCTGCCTCTAATTCATTTACTCCAGTTCCTGGCATAGCTCATTCCTTTACTTCATTCATATCCATGTTCAAACACTATTTCCTCAGTGACCTTCTCTAATTACCTTAACATTTCCTCCTCTAAGTTACTTCCCAAGATTTCATTCTGCTTAATTTTTTTTCAGGAACTCCTAAATTATATATTTCCTGTTCCTCAATTATTTGTTATTTATATTTATTGTGTATATTCCCAGCTAGGAGATAGCACAGCGGGTAGGGCATTTGCCTTGCACGCAGCCAACATGGCCGACCCGAGTTCGATTCCTCTCAGAGAGCCTGGCAAGCTACCGAGAGTATCTTGCCTGCACGACAAAGCCTGGCAAGCTACCAGTGATGCATTCCATATGCTAAACACAGTAACAACAAAGTCTCACAATGGAGACGTTACTGGGCCCACTCGAGCAAATTGATAAACAATGGGAGGACAGTGACAGTGTATATTCCCAAGAGGCAGTGTTTCAAATTTCCTATTCACCCTTATGTCCTAATGGTTTTACTTAGTGTTCTCAAATAGCTGGTGCAAAATAAATGTTTCTTTAAACTCACGATCACGATCATGATCACAATCATCCTGTTGTTCGTCGATTGCCTCGAGCAAGCACCAGTAACATCTCCTTCTTCCTAGCCCTGAGATTTCAAAAGAGCCATATTCAATGCTCTTTCAGGGTTAGGAGAATGATACCCATCATTGTTACTGGTATTTGGCATATTGAGTACTACACGGGAAGTTTGCCAGACTCTGCCATGCGGGCAGGATACTTTTGGTAGCCTGCCGGGTTTTCCAAAGTAAGAACGAGATAATAAGATGTAGCATAGCTGTGAATGCGGCCGCATGCTTCTGGGAGCTGGGTTTTATAGTCTTTGGGTCTTGACCGTTGATGGAAACACCTGGCGCCAGCAGCAGCTGGTGGGTGTGATGCCTACCTACTGGAAGATGGGGGATCTGGGTGGAGAAGGCCCAGTCCTGGTCCGAGCAGTCTTGGAGATCTCAGCACCGGGACCCTCCTGCCTGGGTTCCTCTGTCAGTTCCTTCTTGCATGAGGCTTATCCGGACGTGTGGAGAGTAGTTTCAGCATGGCTGTGGCTGGTTCTGGAGGTCTTCGGCTGCCGGGGCTTTGCTCAGGGCGGGTGAGAAACTCGACCCGCCCCCACTCCAAGGGGCCCTGGTGAAAACAACCAGGCGCGAGGGCAGGAGACTCTGCCCTGGAGTACTCTTTAAACTCTTTAAACTCAGTGCCCAGTAATTGATAACCAGATAAGGAAGATAAGCAATGGAATGCTACTCAGCTATAAAAAAAAAAGTGTCATTTGTAAAATGGGGCTGGAACTGGGAAGGATAATGCTTAGCAAACTCAGGAGGAGAAAAACAAATACTTATCTGCCAGGGGAGATACCATGATCATGAAGGTGTCTTTCCCAGGGCAAGTCTTATCTATTGCATTTCACATGTGCTGACCCCTGAGGTTTTCCAAAAAGTGGGAATCTCAACTACATATTTTACTATAGTAGGGAACTGCGTTCATGTTCTCCTCTGAAGTAAAAAAAAAAAAAAGGAAAGCAAACACACTAGATGATTAGATGATTTCATACACAGAAAAAGACCAAACCCAATCAACAAATCTTTAGATTCTGACTGCAAAACTGAATTTACCAAAGGAAAGGGGGGAATAGATTGTAAGAGTGGAGGGGTCCAATGGACATGCTAAAGGGTATTAATACTTGGGTGGGGTATGGCGTGGTAACATACATTTGAAAATTTTTAAATCATTCTCCTAAAACAAACACAGTGCTGAAAACCACAGTTACCGCAACAATAACAAAAAGCAATGAAGGCATTTACTCTAAAGAATGAATATCACTGTATCACTGTCATCCTGTTGTTCATCAATTTACTTGAGCGGGAGCCAGTAATGTCTCCATTTGTCCCAGCCCTGAGATTTTAGCAGCCTCTCCTTACTCGTCTTTCCCAATGATTGGAGGCTCTTTCAGGGTCAGGGAATGAGACCCGTTATACATATACTTCTCTCTATGATCTGTTGCTTATTGTCTGAACTCCATCAAACATGGTATGGTAATTATGGACAATGGGTAGAAAGTGTCCCATGATGTGTCGAGTGACCAAAACAGTGGCCTGGAGCGTAGTGGCGGTTGGGTAGTGGAGGTCGGCTGCCAGGGCTGGGTCCCTTGGGGCATGGAGGGCTCTCACCCACCCCCCTCTGGAGCTCCCCAAGTGGAAACAGCCTGGCGCGAAGTCACAGGATGAATATAAGTATCTAAAACTGCTAATAGTTTCAGAATAATTGCAAAATTCATACATATTTGAGCTTTAATATTTTTTTCTGAGGACTACAAATAATAAAGTCCTTAGTGGAAAAAGAATAATCTTCAGAAAAAATATACTTGCAGTCATAGTAGTAGAGATAATATATATTTTTAAAAACCTATTAATGTGTATTTCTATAGGAACTGGAGAAATGACCCCATGACCTGGAGTACATGCTTTTCATACAGGAGACCTGGATTCAATCCCGGACACTGCATCCCTGACATCACATGATCCCTTGAGCATTGCCTGGAGTACTCCTGAACACAGAGTTGGAAGTAGCCCCTGAGCAACACCAGGTGTTACCCTTAACAAAACAACCATAATAACAAAGCATATTATTGTGTATCAAGAGAAAAAATTTCTTGAATGAATGAGTGAATAAACAATGTTGAGTTGGATGCTTATTTAACAGATAACTAAATTAAAATATCATTGCCTTGCACATGGCCAACCTGGGTTCGATTCTTCCATCTCTCTCGGAGAGCCCAGCAAGCTACCAAGAGTATCCTGCTGCATGGCAGAGCCTGACAAGCCCCCCGTGGCGTATCTGATAAGCCAAAAACAATAACAACAAGTCTCACAATGGAGATGTTACTGGTGCCCGCTTGAGCAAATCGATGAACAATGGGAGGACAGTGCTACAGTGCTACATATGTATTGTGTCATTAGTTCTTCCAAAAATGCTACAAATTCATCCTTATTAACTGATGAGAAACTTGTTCAGGAAGAAACTTCCCAGGGTCACAAAGTTAGTTAAGAGTAGATCTAAAGGGGATGGAGTGATAATACAGCGGGTAGGGAGTTTGCCTTGTACGCGACCTGCCCAAGTTCAATTCCCAGCATCCCATATGGTCCCACGAGCACCACTAGTAGTAATTCCTGAGTGCAAAGCCAGGAGTAACCCCTGTGTACATCGCTGGGTGTGATTCAAAAAAAAAAAAGAGTGAATCTAAAACTTTTAACTTGGGGTCAGAACAATAGTAGAACAGGTAGGGTGTTTGACTTTGATACAGCTAACCTAGGTTCGATCCCTAGAACCCCATGTAGTCTCTAAAGTCCACCAAGAGTGATCTGTGAGCTCAGAGCCAGGAGTAAGCCCTGAGCACCACTGGGTGTGACTCAAAAACAAATATACAAAAAATTGAACTCAAGTGCCATGACTCATAATTCTTTTTTTAATTTAATTTTTTTATTTTTATATTTTATGTTCCTTTTACATTTTATATAAAAGCTGTGGTTTAAAATTTTGTTCATGATGATTTGTTACATTCAATACACCAACACGAATCCCACCACCATTGTACCTTCTCACCACCATTATCTGCAATTTTCCCAACCACCCCTTAAACCTTCCCCCTAAACAAAACCCTCAATAATTCATTTTATATTGTTTGAATATATTGGAAGAATGCTTTTAAAAGTAGTCACTGAGCAGTACAGAAAGACTGAGTAGAAAGAGGGGGAGAGAGATTCAGCTTCTTTAGCTTTTCCCTGGAGGATCTCTGAAGTTGGGACAGTCTTTCAGATTAAAAAAAAAAACTGCTGGTGGAACCTGAATCAGCCTTTCATTGCAGACAGGTCACCCATGGAACATGTGTGGTCTTGGGCGACAAATTTTATATCCGGTGGTAAATGTTGAAGAAATCTAAGAGCTCAGTGTGGTAGACAGGAATGTGAAATGTCTAGATTAATTTAAAATACTTCAGTTATAAAAGAAAAATCGGGCAGCATAATAGTTCTACAGTCATAGTTCACTCCATGCTACATTTCTTTTATGACTTCCTTACAGGTGTAGAACAGGACTTTCAAGTATTCCAGTAGATTTGAAGATTAGTACAGAGTAAGAAGGTGGCTGCACCTGGGTTCAAGACCACATCTGCAACACAGTCTCTTTCTTCCTTCCATTTCAAATTCCCTTCATCTTCAAGTATAGCTTCCGCTCCTCTAGAATGGTCATCTGGTAGGGCAATATGCTGAATACTAAGCATTCTTCAAACGGTGGTGCTGCAAATGTTTAATGCAATTGGTCAAGGGTAGTCAAAACGTGAATTTCCCAAGTGCTCAACATAAGACTCTCTTAATTTGTTCAGAGTACTGTGTTAGAGTCCTTGATCCAAGGAATGAGACAGAATCAAAATGCGAGCAAAGAAGTTATTTATTCATTCCATGCACACATACTGGTTGACCAGGGTCCCTTGCACAGAGGGTGACCCTGTCTGGCTGTCGGGGACCATACAGGATGCCAGGAATTGAACCTGGGTCGGCCGTGTGCAAGGCAAATGCCCTACCAGCTGTACTATCGCTCCAGCCCCAGGAGTCTTCCCCTTTTATCCCCTTACATGGGTTCAGACCTTTATGCTTGGATTGGCTCCCTCCTAGAATCCTAGGGTCGTGTTTTTTTTTTTTTTTCTGATTCGCTTATCCCTTTGTTGCCTCACCTGCTAACTTGGATTGCCCAATTTGACTTCCTTTACTCTTTTTAGGCCATAGCCTGCTGCTTTGGCTTTTATGGTCCTGCACCATTACTTATTCTTCTGCTTTCTCAGAACTTATGCCAGTGATTATGTTAGCTAGGTTAAAGAAAAGCCTGGATATCCTGTTCAATATGCCTGTTATAATGTAGAGCTACTAGCATGGAGTCCCTAATGCAAGTTCCTGAGCCTTTCAACTGTATTAAAATACCATAGACTGAGTGACTTAAACATAACATTTCTAATCATACTGGGTCCAGCAAAATCCAAGATCAAGTGAAGTCCACTGGTGTATTCCTTGCCCATGGATGGCTATATATTCTCACTCTGTCTTCATATGGTGGAAGGGGTGAGGGATATTCTGAAGTCTCTGTAGGCCCATAAACAAAGACACTAATCCCTTTCATGAGGATTCCACCCTTATGATATAATCATCTTCCACAGATCTCCCTCTTTCACCTGCAAATATCACAGAAAAAGTTAGGGTCTAACACTGGAAATTGCCTATGTTTCTTTTATCATCTTATAGTAAGTTGAAGATGAGCATGGAAGTTTAATGTAGCAGAAAACTGGGAAATGGGAGAATTGGGAAAATACTTGCAAGCTATCCTTGTTTCAGGAACATAGTTCAGGGGTTGGTATATGCTTTGCATGCAGCCAACCCCAGTTCTATCCCCAGTACTGCATGGTCCCTGAGCACCACCAGGAGTACTCTTGAGTATAAAAACAGAAATAGTCTTTGAGCACCAATATAGCCCTGGTGACTCTTGAGCATTGAGGGGTGATTCTGGTGACCCTTGCACTCATTGCAGGACCAGAATGGTGCTGCTCCCCAAACCGCCACACCACTGACTTGGTTGTTTAAGTATTTTCAAGAGTAGCCTCAACCCCTGACCATTCCTGTGGAATCAACCTCTACAAAAATATTAGTTCCTATCTCTTCCCAGATAGGGACTCTGTGTCAGACTGTTTTCACTTGAGGCACCACAGAGTGGGGCGGGTGAGAGCCCTTCCCACCCCAAGGAACCCAGCTCTGGCAGCCAACCTCCACTACCCAACTGCCACCATGCTCCAGTTCACTTTCTGGAAGCGGCCGCACAACACATTATAGGACACTTTCTACCCATTTTCCATAATTGCCACATCATATTTTATGGGGATTAGACAGTAGGCAAGAAATCATAGAGAAAATATATAAACATATGCCTCTCGGAGAGACTGGCAGGCTGCCGAGAGTATCCAGCATACACGAGCAGAGCACGGAAAGCTCCCCGTGGCATATTCAATATGCCCAAACCAGTAACAACAGCAGGTCTTATTCCCCTGACCCTGAAAGAACCTCCAATCATTGGGAAAAGACGAGTAAGAAAAGGCTGCTAAAATCTCAGGGCTGGAATGAATAGAGATGTTACTGGCACCTGTTCGAGTAAATCAATGAACAATGGGATGACAGTGATACAGTGATTGTTATAATTCGCTAAGAGAATGATTAAAAAACGTTTTCTCTGAAGAAATTTAGTGAACATTGTTGTATCTCACCATGGAGCTATTAAGCCCTGTATAACAGATTACTAAACTGTTGTTTCAGGTTAAGCCTTCTGTATTGATTTTTGTTCACTGAGTGAGATAAGATGTCTTCTACATTACATCCCATCCAATCGGGTGTATTTCTCCTGATTTATCAGTGTTGTAGAGTTTGATGTGTCACACAGCCAGGGGATGAGGCCATGCTCCGGG